ATATATCATTTATTTCAAATTAATTATTAGTTTTCTATGTTTTTTTAATGAAAAGCTCAATATAAATTATTCAATTATCTTGTTGCCTGATTTTGTCTGATCATATAAAATTACTTTTATTCAAAGATACGATTTACTTAATTCTTCATGTCCTTATTTATTTGTTCTTTTGAAAGCTTGTAATTAATCCATAACCCTAATTTGAAACTTGAAATAAACATTGATTTTTTTTCAAAAACATTTTTTTTTGTTAAATCTTTATTACTATGGAAAATAAGTTCATTGAATAGGTTTGGAAGAAATTTTTTCTATATTTAATCATATAATTGAAGAAAATCATAGAGCAATATTAGTACAAGATATCATTGTTAATTATGAAGAAACTAATTTTATCATGAAACTATTATGTGATAATATTAAAAAAAAAGAAATCAAAACATTTTTCAAGTTAAAAGAAATTATTTTTGGCCGACTGATTTTCTCTGTTGAAATCCTAAACGTAATCTAGGTCTGGCCTAGTCTAGACCTGACCTAAATCCCAAACCTGGCTCAAACCCTATAACTAACCTAGGTCTGACCCAACCCAAACCTGACTCAAAACCTAAACCAAACTTAAGCCAACACGGGTTAACCTCACTTAACCCGAGTTAAACTCAAACCAAACCTAAATCAATCCAGCTCAAACTTAAAGGAAATTTGAGCTAACCCGGGTCAAACCCAAATCAAACTTGTCAAGCCAGGTCAACCTAACTTAACTCGGGTCAAACACAAATCAAACTTAAGCCAAACTGGGTCAACCTGTGTTAACCCAAATCAAACAAACTTGACCTTAGCCAGCCCATGTCAAACCCAGACCTAAATCAACTGACTTATATCATACCTCAACTCAACCTCAGTCCAAGTCTAATCCAAGGCTAATTGTCGCTTTATATGTGTTATTTTATATATTGTTTCATGTGTAGTTTCATGCTTTGTTACTTCATATTTCAAAACAAAAATAATGAAAAAAATTGCATAAAACAAAAATAAAGGTAAAAGCCTCTCACAATATGGTTTTCTCCACAAAAATAAAAAATTAAATCTTTAAGAAAAACTCAAAACATAGAAAATTTTGATTTCTCAACATGACTGATAAACCTATGAATCAAGCAATACATTAATGCAAATATTGAACTTCAAATAAAATATCTAAAACACACCAAGATAAAGAATGAGAACTGAACTTAGGTAGATATGATATGAACGTTAGGTTAGCTAACTTAGACACCGAACCGAGGGTCATACACTTACCCCATGTTAGTCTGAGTATAGAAGTCTATGTTAGTTCAGGAATCTAATTAGTGCTAAGGACTAGAATCCAAATTGAAAGAATGAAGTAACACATGGTCACTGACGAAGGTATGTCAGACTGTTTTAAAACTATGAATCCTTCATGCTCTGACATTTAAGGAGAATTCATGCTGGTCATAGTCGACAAATACCAATGTTTTCGAGTAAAAAAAAAGTCATGGGCATCTTGACAGGGGACGTTACTCCAAAAATCTTGATTAGTCTACCAATAGAATTTCCTATAGAGTTTAAGGTTTCATTTTCCATCTAGAAATGTTTTCCGATCCGACTCTATCCTTAGCTTAGGGCTTTCAATCACTCTTGTCAGTCAAATCAAGTATCTCCAATCTATCTTTTGACTTCGCCCAATTAGTTGAAATTCATCAATTCTTTTCAAATCTTTCTTTTATCTCGGACTTTTCCCATGACATGTCGTCATCAGATTGTAAGCCCCATCCTTTTGAACTTAATTCTTTCAATTTGGATCCCCCATTCCAGTTATAGAAATTCGATCTTTGACAATTCAAATTATCATATTAATTGAGGGTCTTCTCTAGGACTTACGGCTCAAAGATGTGAGTGATTAACTATGAGGGTTTACCCTTGTAGGAAACAAGACTCCATAATTAAAATAAACCTTATCATACACATGTAAGGTAAGGGAAGAACCCTGGTTTCGAAGGCCTCAAAGATTTCTTTTACCTGAATGATTGAATCTATTCTAAGGTAATGTCTCTATCTTTTCTCTATCTTTCGAGATAGTATATTATTCTTCGAATGCCGCATTCAATCATTTAGATTGGAATATTTTGAGATCTATGGTGGCCAAAAAAAAAAAAAAACCCCCCACAAACTACCTTGAGTTTTTATGAATATCTATTGATCGAATACCTTTTTTTCTTTATAATGTGTTAGTGGCCTTTAGTTCTCTTGTATATTTTATTTTATATGAACTTGAATTCCTAGCAGTCTATACTCCATCAGAAATAGAATTCCCCTCTTTCTTCTTGCTTTGGTCTTTATTCACTTGCCTCAGTTCGTGTTTCTGAATTAATGCTAATGATATGTCGTATACAAGGCCAAATTGAATATATGTATCAAGAATATATAAAGCTAATTCTTCGTTGATCGGTCACACACTCCGGCTTGATCGACTATCTCCGGTCCACTCGATTTATTGGTCATCATTTGCCCGATCATATCGATCGATTATCATTCTTCGATCGACCACACATCGGTCTATCGACCTTCTTCGGTCTACAGGATCGATATGTGCCGCCACTGGTTCGATCAACCTATTAACCACTATCTTTCAACATGGTTGATTGACACCGCCACCGACCTGATTGATCATTCGATCTTTTACATTAAGAATGATGTATTCATTGCATGCTTCTTCACATTGCCTGCATTAGCACATCCACACTTGCACACTATTGTGCACCCATGAGCATATCCCCCCATATGTTCATGATGAGCACTTATGCCTCCCAGCAATATGTTGCTCTATATATTAGCTGTGTGGCTTCCTTATGTCACTTAGTACCACCTGGCAGGTGGTTCGTACTTGCACTTTTCACTCTTGTGTGTTTGCTTGCATAGTACCTTGCATGTCCATGACTTGCTTGCTTGGAGTCTTGCATTTGGGTTAGTGTTATCGTGCATTTACTCCTTGCGCTCACACATCGTGTGAATGTATAGCCCACCACCGAGCAAATTTGTTGTGTAATTCCCTCCGAAAGAGTTACATCCTTACACTCTCTACGACACTGCTTTGGACTGGCACATCCATTTCACTTGTGTTGTTTGTTTTTCATGCATCATTCGACACAACCAAGGCATTTGTCACTAAAACACGCACTATATGCTAGTGGCAGATGTTTGTAATCATTTGAACACTTTGCATTTCTCTGATTGTCTTTACGATGAATCTGGCTCGTAAGCTGAGTCACCTGTTACAGGTCTCGAC